TCCATCCGAAGGAGCGCGGGGCTGTCAGCGTAGCCGCCAGGGCGGCGCTAGGGAAAGGCCGAGTCGAGAGGCGTGCGGCCGGATCGGGGCCGGTAAGTGACAGCGCCGGGCGAGGACGACGAGACAGCGGCAACGCTCTCGCCAGGCCTTTCCCGGCGGGGAGGGGCGGGGCGGGGCGGCGGGCGAGAGCGAGCGCGCCTGCGCGGAAAACAGCTGGGAAGTTGCGCGGCCGCAAAGCAGCAGCTGCTCGTGATGCTGCGGCGAGGAAAACGGGCGAACTCCTGCGGGACGTGGCCTTGATGAGACCGGGCCGTGCAGCCCCACCCCTTCTGCCCCCGTCCGGCCGCATCGGGACATGATCTTTAAGAGTTGCCACTGCCTGGGCTGATTTCTGTGGAAGGCGCCTAAATCCTTTTAGGGCGCTTGGTAGGATCCTTCCCTGCTGCCCTGTTCCTGGCTTTTGATAGAATAAGAACCCAACCCCAAGATGCATGGTTTGCTGTGCCAGATGTTTCTGCTGGAAGGGATCTTGTGCCCAAAGGGGCCTGGTGACTGCCCGAATGGGTGCTTCCTATTCTCAGACTTTCCCTTGGTCAGCGGAAGCATGTTTCTGAAAGGCTTCATGGATTCAGTTTTGCGTGTGTTGTTGCCATCATCATGTCGAAAATAATATGGCAATATATAGCATGTCATGAGTTCAAACTGCTACTTAATCTACTTGTGATCTTAACAGTAACCCAGGAACCTTACACTGTCGGCTGATTTAGTATTATAACCCATATACTGCAGATCTAGAGACGGACTCTAGGAAAATGTGGTCTGCCAAATGCCACCTAGCAAGTTCATGGCAGAGACAAGATTCAGACTGTCTATGTCTAGACCTATAGCTCAGTCTTTTACTATATAGTTCAAGTTGTTGGTATGGGGACTTGGACTAGGGCAGCCTGGGCTCAAATCACTGTTATCAGCAGCAAAGCTCATTGTGTGGTCTGGAGGCACTTGTTTTCAGCCTAAAATGCCTATTCTGCCAGGGCTGTTCTGAGTGGAAAATGGATAACACCAAAAGCAGCATTGTATACAGCAAAATCCTACAATGGTTCATATGGCTGAAATTGCTTGCTGGGTCCTTGGGACCTTATTTATTAATTTCTGATATTTCTATATTTCCACTGAGGTTTTCCATGTAATTGCTGTTGTTGTTAGTCGTGAAGTCATGTCCGACTCATTGCGACCCCATGGACAACATTCCTCCAGGCCTTCCTGTCCTCCACCATCCCCCGGAGTCCACTTAAGCTCACACCAACTGATTCAGTGACTCCATCTAGCCACCTCATCCTCTGCCATCCCCTTCCTCTTTTGCCATCTATTGTTCCCAACATTAGGCTCTTCTCCAGGGAGTCCTTCCTTCTCATTAGGTGGCCAAAGTATTTGAGTTTCATCTTCACTATCTGGCCTTCTAAGGAGCGTTCAGGGTTGATCTCTAGGACTGACCGGTTTGATCGCCTTGCAGCCCATGGAACTCTCAGGAGTCTCCTCCAGCACCACGTTTCAAAGGACTAAATCCTTTGGTGCCCAGCCTTCCTTATGGTCCAGCTTTCACAGCCATACATTGCAACTGGGAAAACCATAGCCTTGGCTATACACACTTTTGTTGGCAGGGTGATGTCTCTGCTTATGCTGTCTAGATTTGCCGTAGCTTTCCTCCCCAGGAGCAAGCGTCTTTTAATTTCTGGACTGCAGTCCCCATCTGCGGTGATCTTGGAGCCCAGGAAAATAAAATCTGTCACTACCTCCATTTCTTCCTCATCTATTTGCCAGGAAGTGAGAGGACCAGATGCCATGATCTTAGTGACATTTCTTAATGTTGAGTTTCAAGCCAACTTTTGCACTCTCCTCCTTCACCCGCATCAAGAGGCTCTTTAGTTCCTCTTCACTTTCTGCCATTAGAGTGGTATCATCTGCATATCTGAGGTTGTTGATATTTCTCCCAGCATTCTTAATTCCAACTGGTGATTCATCCAGCCCTGCCTTTCTCATGATGTGCTCTGCATATAAGTTAAATAGGCAGGGCGACAGTATACAGCCTTGCCGAACACTGATTTTGAACCAATCAGTGGTTCCGTGTCCAGTTCTGTTGATTCTTGACCTGCATATAGGTTTCTCAAGAGACAAATAAGATGGTTTGGTATTCCCATCTCTTTAAGAACTTGCCACAATTTTTTGTGATCCACACAATCAATGGCTTTAGCATAGTCAATGAAGCAGAAGTAGATGTTTTTCTACTAGGAACTCCCTAGCTTTCTCCATGATCCAGCGTATGTTGGCAATTTGATCTCTTGTTCCTCTCCCTCTTCGAAATCCTGCCTGTACTTCTGGTAGTTCTTGGTCCACATACTGCTGCAGTCTAGCTTGTAGGATTTTGAGCATAACTTTGCTAGCATGTGAAATGAGTGCAATGGTGCAGTAGTCTGAACCTTCTTTGGCATTGCCCTTCTTTGGGATCGGAATGTAAACTGACCTTTTCCAATCCTGTGGCCACTGCTGAGTTTTCCAAATTAGCTGGCATATTGAGTGTAGCACTTTTACTGCATCATCTTTTAAGATTTTGAATAGCTCAGCTGGAATACTGTCGCCTCCACTAGCTTTGTTGTTCCTCAGACTTCCTAAGGCCCATTTGACTTCACATTCCAGGATGTCTGGCTCGAAGTCAGTGACCACCCCGTCGTGGTTATCAGGGACATTAAGCTCTTTCTTGTATAGTTCTTCTGTGTAATCTTGCCACCTCTTCTTAATCTCTTCTGCCTCTGTTAGGTCCCTGCCATTTTGGTCCTTTATCATGCCCATCTTTGCATGAAATGTTCCCTTCATATCTCCAATTTTCTTGAAGAGATCTCTGGTCCTCCCTTTTCTATTGTTTTCTTCTATTTCTTTGCACTGTTCATTTAAGAAGACATTCGTATCTCTTCTAGCTATTCTCTGGAATTCTGTTTCCATGTAATACACACTGTTAAAATGAAGTGTGCACAATAAAAATACAATTTAAGTATTAACAATGAAACAAATATTAAGTGATATTATATCTAGCAAAAGTATGAGAGGAGATATACATGTCATAGAAAGGCACACATGTTTGAGAGTGAAATGCAACCAATAAAGACAGTGAATCTGAGGGTGCTAAAACAACCATAGTGGAAGAGAATTGAACTCTTGTTGTAGATATGTGGTTGTCAGCAGATCATGTACATTTAGTTGGGTTGCTAAAGTTAATTAAGGCACAAACTGATGCATATTTAGATTTTTAAAAGTCCTATAACTTCTAGGATTCCTCAACCGGCTAAGGATGATTAGAGCTGTCTGGATATGAGGGGGTCAAACTAGATGGCCTAGGAGATCTCTTCTGACTCACTATGTTTCTATGCTTCTATAATTGTGCCCTAATTATTCTGTACACGGTTCTGAGAACACTGTGCCAATAAATAAACAAGTTTGTCAGCAATTTTCAGTTTCCCCCCACAACTGTCAACAATGTAAGTGGAGTACATGCTATTGTCTTCAATTTTGTTTTTAAGTATCTAATAAAATGATGTGCACAGTAAAACATTTTAGGTTGTGAACCCAAGACTGCTAGACAAAGTCTGGCTTCTCACAGGAAAATTTGGTGCCGCAACTCCAGGTTCAGAAATAAGCTCTGCAGTTGGAACTGGGTTGCTGTTCCAAAGTCCAGAGTGACCACCCTCCCAGCCAGCACAGAAAGAACTGTGTCAGCTGTGACTCTGAGGTCAGAAGACAGATTTTGAAGCTGACACTGGAGGGCGTTCTGGGAGAGAGTGAGTGGAGAAGTATGCCTCTGGCATACTGTGTATTCTTGTGGAGCCTCAGCCTGACATCCTCACAAGCAGGTGCAAAAGACTTGAGTGGCTAGAAGCACTTGCCAATTTTATTTGTCCAGTGAAGGGATGTCTCTACCTTTTTTTCAGGGCTAATAGAAGTCTTTTCAATTTAATCCACTGTTTTCATAACTTTTCAAGCTATTCTCTAACATTCAAATGCTTGGAACTACAAATCCCACCAGCCCCAATCAGTATAACCAGTGCTCAGGGATGAAGGAAATTGTGCTCTAGTTTCCTGCTGTAAAGAAAAGCTTATGAACAGGGAGGCGGTGAAACTGACAAGCTTGAGTCCGTAAAAGCCCTTCAAAGCAGCTGTCAAACTGATATCCCAATTTTCAACCTGAGTTTCATGTCTACAGCAGAATTTTTCTGAATCTATTGCAGAGTTGTGAAAAATATGCCAGTCTCTTCACTGCTCCTGCAGTTTTCCTACATAAATCTTTTAGCTTATGCAAATACTGTGCCTCCTGTCACAGCTATTGTTTTCTCTTAGTAGCATATGCAGGAGTCTGTACATCCAGAAGCTAACAATAATCCTCATTTCAGATATAAACTCATACAAAAGGAAGGTCTGAGAAAGACTAGTGGAATGGCAATATATATATATATATTATAAATCAAACCTGATAAATATCTGTAGCATTCCCTACTTTTTAGCTACCATTTACAGATCAATTCTTTGACCAAGTTCTCTAATTATGCATTTTCACTAAACGTTTCACATACATGGGTCTAGGTGAATAATTTCAAACTTTACATCAGTTCAGAGGTAATAAGCTTTTCATCTGCAGATGGAACAGCTCCTTCTGTTTTCCTAATCTTAACTGTGTGTGTGTGTGTGTGTGTGTGTGTGTGTGTGTGAACGAACTGGACCAGTATTAATATTCTTTAACAAAAGGCATATTGATGCAAAGAGAGTAGTTTGTCTTCATCACACATTTTTTCTGGATGTGCTTGTTGCCTTAGTAACTCCAAATTGAAACTTAGTTTAAGTATAATTGCTCCATACTTTTGTACAAACAACATATCACTGTGATCCTTTAAAAAACTGAGCAGTTATTGACAAAGAATTTAAAAAAAAATAATGATCACATGCTGAAATCAGTACAATGTATTTAAATATTTCAGATGCCCCAAAAGGTAATTTAATCTGATTTTCATTTTAGTATGTGCTACTCAAAAATGCAGAAAAGAGAATCATTTAAAGATTGTGTGCATAGTTTGCTCTAATTTAATCAACTCAAAGTTAAAACATTTGGTAAAACTAAAGACATTTCAATTGAAGATGAAAAAAAAACAAGCCAAAATATATTTTGTTCTTTTACACCAAGAAATTTTATTTCAGATGCAGGATCCTTTTTGTATAGACTGTGAGACTGATGTTCACAAATGCAACTGCTAAACATCTGGGATTTGTGGTACTTCAATTAGAAACACTGAAGAGCTGTGCAAGATAGGAAACTTCCGTGACCAGAACAGCTGCCATGAGCATACAACCATGCAAAGTACAAAAAAAGTAGATACAGATACGTATCTTCTGTGCATGTAGGTGCATACTGCAGCTTGCTGTGTCCAGTTAATCCAACCAACATGTATGCATGTTGTGGTCCCATTCTTTAACCACAATTTAACTGTGGACTAGGTTTAAAATATCATTGTTATCTTCTCTGAAAAGTTTGATAGTTAATGACTGTCAGCTGTCTCTTGAATTGTTTGGATGTAAATTATGCCTTGTAGTTAAAGAATGTTGTTAGTGCTGAATTCTAATTTTCCTATTAAATATTAGTTTTATAATTTATGTATTTAAATCTATATTGTTAGACTAGTTTATGGTACCAGTCATTTAAAATGTTGCATATATATGTTGCTCATTATTTTACAGAATAGAATGTGAAATAGAATGTAGAAGTATTTACATGTAGCACACTGGATGAGACTAAGTACCAGTAGTAATGTACTATATTCTCTTCCTCCCTTCCTTCTGTTTCACTGAAAGTAATGCCAAAAGGTAAATGCATCCTGTGAATTAAAGCAAATTATATGGCTTTTTCACATCAGTCCTAAACATATTTAGTTAGAAGTAGATCCCCTTGTCTGTTTGATTATGTTCTCACTGCTGAAAGTCAAATGGCTTTGCACTCAGAATGGCAACAGTGAAAGTGAAAGTAAAACTGTATTGTGCTCATTTGTGCTTTATGCTTATATAATCATTATTGCAGTCTGACAAAGAAGAAAATGAACAAGAAAACGAGGAGGTGGAGAAGGAGGAAGAGGAATTAGTATGTCTTGTCAAATGCATCTGCAAATATGCATTGAACTAACAATGTTCTGTGTTCATGCTTTGAATATTCTTGGTTGGATGGGAGTAATGAAGTCTCATGAAAATCACTGAAAACAGAACTACCCAGTTCATTTCCAGGGGACTAAAATATGGCTTAGTCTGGACCCAGAGCATACATGGAATCTTTTTCCTTTTTGTTAATGTATTAGGCTGAAAAGAACAGTGGACAGCAATGTATGAAATGCAGTTATTGTCCTCTTCTTCCAAAGATAATAGTCAAGAACCAGAAGGTAATCTTTCTTCTTCTTGAATTTAGTACATTTTATATTTTCTAAAAAGCTTTAAACAGATTTAAAATGATTTTTATCATATAAAGGGTGCAACCAATTTAATAGATAACTTTCTCTTACATAATCTTTCACTTGCCATTGTTATTTGAACTTCAGTTGGGAAGCAAAATGGAGAAGGTAATAGTGGCACATCACATTGGGCTTTTAATGGGTTGCAACATTTATTGGTTATAACTCACATCACAAAGCGCAAGGATCTAATCATCTGATCAGCTCTTCATTCACACCTGTGTGTTCTAGGAAATATGTCATTTTGGAAGTTTTGGGCTTATCATGGAGTGCACAAATAATATAGATCCTTTTTGCCAATTGTGTGTGTGACTTGTGAACACTGAAGCTGTGTCAGAGCCTTGAAACTCCACTTGTAGATCACTTACAAAGCCTCCCTTTTGGGGATTGGGGTACTATATTGGCTCCTTCATATTCCCAGGAACTGGAACAGAAAGGGAGTTCCACCCCCAGCCTTTTCCCTGGAAGTAGGCCATCTTGCCATTGTTCCTGGTCCACAAAGTAACTGTAAGATATTCTGGACCACTGGCTACACAGAGAGAGGAAGTTCTGCCACCTACTCCTCTTGCACCCCATGCGGTGGGTACAAAAGGAAATCCCTTGGAAAGCCAGGACTTTGGCTTGAATTCCACTTGTCTTTGCACTGAAGTTCACACTTTCAAATAGATAGGTTTTCTCAAGTGGCTGTATCCATTTACTAGTGGAACAGATGGCACTGTTGAAATAGATTCCCATAACCTCCCCCCCAAAAAATCTGGGAACCCTTCAGATGAAGGAAAGGGAAAGAAGCAAGTCATTCTGCTGTGCAAAAAGAAGTCTAATGGTTGTTGGATGTATCCCAGTTCCTGGATCTGCAAGCAGATGCTAGCCACATGGTTACCTAGTGTGATCTAGCACTGTAGCTAGGGTTGTTTGCATGAATCTGTCAGATAGTCATAGCTCTGTTTAATAACTGGTTATAGCTGCAAGGATGTGAGAACTCAAGCTGTGTTGTGAGAGCTCCATATTTCCAACTGCCTAAATCTTTTTCATTCCCAAAAAGTATCTTCTAGGACTTTATTTTTATTAGAGTCCAAGCAAGGGGTATAAGTGGAAGAGAACGGACTAACACTTAGCCTCCATGTTATGCCCGCAGGCTAGCCCCTGTTCCCAAGGTATTATTAGAAGGAAAATAAACATCCTTAAGGCTGTGATTCTATACATTTTTACCTGGGAGTCAGTCCTTTTGAATTCAGTGGAGCAAATTTCTAAGTAGGCATGCACAGAATTGCACACATTGCTTTTGCAGGGGATTAGTTTGTACAGAATGGACATAGGGCAAAGAGCTAAATTCTTTCTGCACTATAGCCTTACAACAAATGATGGGCAGTGGTGGGGGTCTGTTTTTTTCCCTTCATTGTTTTGTTTTGTTTTGTTTTAAACAAAAGAGATGCTAGGAGTTCTAACTCCAAGTCCCCAAGTGACATCTAATTTGACCCTGTAGAAATCACAGATGTATTGTAATTTTTCAAAATGAAAAATTGAAAACAATAACAGTTTCCTGAATTATTTTAGGTATAAAGGAAACAAATTCATTGGGCCTTCCCTCCAGGCAACGTAGTTGTGCTGCAGTAAATACTCCATCTGCATGCGTTAACAAAGCTATTCATCATATTCAAGATCTAGAAATGAAAGTGGAAGAAACATTTCAACAGGTACTATTTGTTTATATTCATTGTTTTGGTTGTTGTACCTTTGTCAGGTCAGCTTTGCAATAAAAATAGGCATACAATAATGCACCTGCAGGGACTGCAGGTGGAGCAGTGGTTTAAACTGTGCTGCTGGGCTGGTTGATCGAAAGGTCACTGGTTCAAATCTGCACAACGGGGTGAGTTCCTGTTGCTCCGTCCCAGCTCCTGCCACCCTTGCAGTTGGAAAGCATGCAAATGCAAGTAGATAAAAAAGTATCACTTCGGTGGGCAGATAACAGTGTTCCGTGCACTTTGGTGTTTAGTCATGCCGGCTTCATGACCATGGAGACTGCAGACAAACGCTGGCTCCCTCGGCTAGGAAATGGAGATGAGCACCACCCCCTAGAGTCAGGCATGATTGGACTTAATGTCAAGGGGAAACCTTTACCTTACCTTTACCTTAATTCACCAAAAAGAATAAGACAACAAGAACAGTGAAATTTAAAACAAAGATGGCAAAGCAGTATAAAAAACATCCAGCGGAGATGTTAAAACATAAATGATTAAAAAAAAAAATCTTTGTCTAGCACCAAACCACCACCATCACTACCACCAGTGTAAATACAAGGCAAATCTCTCTGGGGACAGTATGGCACAAGCAGATTATCTTCATGGGGAAGTTCCGCTAGTAAACTGCTGGGAGAGGTCATCAGGAGGTGTGGGCTGTGGAATCATCAGTACGCTGATGATACCCAGCTCTACCTCTCATTCTCCACCAATCCAGGTGAGGCATTGGCTGTGCTGAACCGGTACCTGGCCGAAGTAATGGACTGGATGAGGGCCAATAAACTTAAGCTCAATCCAGACAAGACGGAGGTCCTGTTGGTTGGCGGATCGGGCTTCGGGAAGGTGAATTGAACCTAGTCCTGAATGGGGTTGCACTCTCTCTTAGGGACAAGGTCCGCAGCTTGGGAGTGCTCCTCGACCCAGAGCTTTCACTGGAAGCTCAGGTGACAGCGGTGGCAAGGAGCACTTTCTTTCAGCTTCGGCTGATCCATCAGCTGCACCCCTACCTGGAGAACGACTGCCAGGTGACAGTGACACACGCGTTGGTGACTTCCCAACTTGACTTCTGTAACGTGCTCTACGTGGGGCTGCCCTTGAAGATGTTCCGGATACTTCAATTGGTTCAAAATAGAGCTGCCAGGCTGCTGATGGGGACTGGATGTTATGTTCACATGACTCCAGTTCTCCGTCAGCTTCACTGGCTTCCCATTGAAGTCCGGGCCCAATTCAAGGTGTTGGTGATGACCTATAAAGACCTTAATGGCTTGGGTCCTGGTTACCTGAAGGAGCACTTACGTTCATACATGCCCGCCCGCCCCTTGAGATCAGCGGGAGAGGCCCTTCTCCGGGAAACCTCCGTAAAGGAAATTAGGAGGGTAAGTACTCGGAGGAGGGCTTTCTCTGAAGTGGCGCCCAATCTATGGAATGCGCTCCCCAGAGAGGTCTGCCTGGCGCCGTCGTTATTTGTTTTTCGGCACCAGGTGAAGACCTTTTTATTCAAACGTTATTTTAATTGTTAATATTATTTATTTATTTTATTCTTTGGCCAGGGCCACTTAATTTATACTGTTAAATTATATTGTTTATATAGGATGTTATTTATTTATGTTTGTGAGCCGCCCCGAGGCTTCAGCGAATGGGGCAGCATAGAAGTTCCCTAGATAATAAATAAGTTCCACAGTTGTAATAGTTGTAAATTTTATTGTTGCAAACAGGTCATAACAAAAACAAAAGTCAAAGTTACACATGACCTGCAACCAAACTGTGAGTACAAACCTAAAATCTAAATGCCTAAAACAGCTGCAAAGTGAAGAAATGGATAAAATACTAAAAAAATTCCAAAACACTATTTGTCAAACATCAGAAGTAATAGATAAAAATACATTTCAAAATATATTAAAAGTAGCCACTTCATAACTAACACAAGGCAATGCACTTGCCAGCAAAAATTGTTACATTTTGAGTTTCTTATAAATCCCAAGGGAAAGTTCTCCCCACATCCATCTCTACCACTTGAGTGATATTACTGGGCTTTAAGCCAAGAAGAAATAAATGGGAGATGATTAATTTAGCTGACCAGAGACTGCAGTTTGGCTGGTATCCCCCTTACTTCTAGGTAAAGGCTCCTTTCATCAAGAGAAGTACATTTGCTTCTGACACAGGCTGATTAAGATTTCTCAGTGAGAACTGCAAAAACAAAACGTTACTTTATAAGGATTACTGTTGGGAAAATGTTTTGAAACTAATCCAACTGATTTCCATGTTTTTATGTGGTTTCTTCATGTTTATTTTTATATACGCAATGAAAATTGAAAATATGTACTATATTAATGAAGCATGTCATTTATATTTACAGTATGATCATTTATATAAGTTGGAGAAAATTCCATGGTAAGGATCTTACAAATTTTAATTCATTAATTAACTCTAGGGATTCTTTAACATAACAAAATAAGCAAAACATCCACACTGTCTTTAATCCTATGCATATGTAGACAGAAGAAGATAACAGAGTTCAATGGGGCCTACTCTCCAATAAATGGTACAGAATTGAGGGCCAAGATAGTTTATTAGATGTTTCCTCTTTTGAATAGAAATCTAATTTGATATTTAAAAATAATGTATTATAAATTGAGATAAGGAGTTGTTAAATTTGGGCATCTCTGGGTCAAGACATACAAAAGCCACCATTTCTTACGATGTTTCTTACAAGTGTTGTGGGACAGGCTGCTATAGAAGAATACCTATGTTACAAAGGGTTTGCTCCTGCAGTTCAGAAGAAGTGGAAACAATAGAGCATGTCTTGTTTTACTGCTTGCTTTACCAGGAAGCACATGGAATGTTTATCCTCTTCCTGATCAGAAAATTTATTGTCCAATTGGACACAGAGGTGGCCAAGACTCTTCTTATGGGAACTAAACCACAGATCATAACCCAGAGCACAAGTCTTTTGGCAGCTGCTTGTAAAATCTGACAGGGTATTGTTTGTAATGAGTATAAAGTTTAACAATGCCTTTCTTTGTTTCTTTGTTTGTTTTAAGATGTGTATGGTCTCCTGTCCAGATTTTGGAATTTAGATCTTAATTCTGACTTTTAGTAATGTATAGCAACCAGGATTTTGATACTGTTCTCTTGATTATGTGAGTCATTGACTATATTAATAAATTGCTTGCTTGCTTGCTTACTTGCTAGATTGAGTGATTGATTGATTGATTGTTATGGGACAGGGACTGGCATGAGAAATGCAAAATGCTGATTGGGCCAAAGCAAAAGATTGCCTTTACCAACCCCAGACCTGATTTCTACATGCCTTCATCCACCAAACATTGATAGAAGCAAATGTATTCCTACTCATTTCCTCCATCATGGTACTATTAACATTTTGCTTGGCTTAAGCAACTCTAACATAACTTAAATAAACTACTTGCTCAAAAGAAATCTAATATTTGCAGCATAGGGAAATAATAGAGGGATACAGCAACAGATGACTCAGCAGAAACATTTACATAAATAAAGGGTGTTTTAAATTTGCAGTGAGAACTATGGAATTAAGGAGTGAAGATGAAGATGGATTTGAAGTCCCATCTATTTTAAAATATCGGCTTAAATTTGTAGGAATACAGAAAATGTTGAAGAGATTAAAGATATCTGGTCATCAGTTTCTTCTGATCTGAAGGCTGAACAATCATTATACTGGAAAGGTAAAATTGACTGAGTCTGGCGCTAAGTCTGCCAGAGTGTTCTTGGCATATCTCTGTCAAAATATATTAATAATGTATATTAAAACAACTAGTGTTTTAGAGTTTGAATTATTTGTGAATTGTCCAGAGTGCTTTGGATATCAGAATATGTACAAATGTAATACATGAATAAAAAATTGTTCATGTACCTGGCTTTGACTATTTCCAGTCAATATGAAGAACAACATTTCCATAATGAATGCAATCATAAGAAAAAATCAAAGATGCATAAAGCAAATATCTGAAATATGCAAATCCCTTTTAAACATATACCTCCATCAAATCTCTTGACACCTGAAATTACTCAGCATGCATTGTATTGATTATCCAACTGTAGCCATGCTTTACACATTCATGGTATCTATCCAGCTGGAGTTGTACTGCCAGTCTTAGGACACAATCCTATGACTGCCAAACACGGCCTTGGTGGCCATAGGAGACATCACAGTTCTAGCTCTGACCTTGGAAACTCACTCTGTCAATATATCTGGCATCCTGGTGACATCTTAGTGTCCCCAACTTGTACTCTGAGCCAAAAGGCTTAGATTAGCTATCAAAAGCTTCTGCAGGGCAGGAGAAGTGCAAAGGTGAACTTTGCTTCTGTGCTCCTTCTGCCTTCCATCAGGTGACTGTATTCTTACAAGTTCAGAGGTTTGTGGGCAACCACACTGGATTTTGCTGCCCAACGATTAGCCCTTGTCTTAATTAGGCCAAAGAGGCCAAAACAGTTGTCCCTGATACAAATATTTTGGTGTTTTTTATGGTACAGGTAACTATGCCTACTGCCTTATTCAGTGAATTTCTGAAAACATAGTTTCTAGAGCAGTACACACAATGAGAAAAAGTAATTGAATCTCAATAATTATATGTTAACAATAGCTTTGAAAAGGATATGGTGATTTTGAAACTTAAACATTAAAACATATTTTATTTTGGAAAATATAAGCTTAAATGTAAGTAGTTATGTAAGTAACTAAGCAAGCTTGTAAGTAAGCTTCAATGTAAGTAGTTCCCTGGATAATTTATCTTCACTCATATCAACCCTGATGCACATTTATTTTGTTTTTGAAAGGTTTGTGTATTTAGAGTCTCTGTAATGGAGTAAAATAAGGAACATATGATTTTTCTCATAGAGAAAACATAACAATTGTTATAGTTGAATAATTATAGTCAGTTTATTGAATTAACCACCCAGGGAGCCTTTGGGCTGATGGACAGGGTAGAAAAATAATAAATAAATAAATAGTTCTGAAATCTGCTATTCATTGGCTCTTTCATAATTTTACATGTTGGGAAAGTGGAGTGTATATATAGCAATAAGGAAAATAAGTGTATGGGGGGGTGATATTTTCCCTAGCAATTATATGAAATAGTGCTTTGTCCGATTACTGCATAGTTTCTGATAGAAAGCTAAATGGAGAAAAATGTGTTGGCTGGAATGCACTTGCAAGAGTAGACTTCAGGGCCATTTTCTACTAATGCAAAGTCGAAAAAAAGATTTTTTCCAAGCATGTTATGTGTGGCTGTACCTTTTCCATGAGATTCTATAAATGAATTCAAGGCACTGCAGAAATTATATAGTGTTTTGTGGTTCAAATGGGGAAAATGGTTTGAAAAGGACAGCCTTAAACTCTTACACATACAAAATGTGATTTTAGTACTGTTTCATCAAATGTGCAAAGGAAAAGTTTGTTGAGAACCTGAAACACAGGACTGAGGTTTAAAACATTGCAGAAAGTACATGGTCTCTATTGGGTTGTTACAAAATGGCACTGTAATGGTGCCTTGCCTTGTGGCCTATCAATGTAAATTATTTGATTAGCAGCTGTCTCAGTTCGGTCAATATTTCCATGCTGTTTTTCAAAAGATGGAAAAGTTCACTCATAAGGAAGGAAGAACTAGAGATACTCTTGGCAGGGTCACTGGAGAAAGGAATACTTGGATCCAGAATAATTAGCAAGTAAAGAGGAACTGGGCTGGTGCGGAGGAGGATGCCTGTTCCTATGCCAGAGGGGAAGTTGCTTCTTGAGCAATGCAAGGGCCAAGTAATCAGTGCTGAGCATGATCTTGTTCTGAGAAAGCTATGAGAGCACTTTCATTGTTGACATAGGAACTGCCAATCAGCACTGTGCAAATACAGTTTTTGCTCTAAGCTATAAGAATTAATGTCCTATAGGTACATGAAAGCAGCTGTTTATTTGCTGTGATCTTCAATTATTTGTCTTGATACTTTTGAGATTTTGGCCTGCATTTAGTTTGCAGATTTTTCCCCAGACGATGCAGGTTGCCACAAAGTAGATTCAGTTAAACAAAAAAACTACTAAACTCTTTCATTCAAGTAACTTTATGATAGAATTTGGTAGTGTCTAATTATGTGCTGTTACCAGTCACATTCCTACCAAGGAAAAATGCATGTCATCTAATAAGCTTATTCACCACAATACAATAAATTGGTCCTGAAATCAGTAGAATTGTGGGCTTTTTGGAAGCTACTTCATTTTGTGTAACTTGCAGAATATTTGCTGAAATGAGCTGTTGAATTTTGTGTAATTTCTATAGCTCTTTGTAGTTGTTCCGGGACTGTATAACTTGCTAACAGTTTGCTAACATGCTAAATGACATTCAGATCATGCATTTTAATGAGATGTACCTGTAATATGAAACAATACAACATACATTTCTTCCTTTTCTTTTTAAAAACAAAATTCTGAAGACCTCCAACCTTTAAAGCAGAAAACAGCGGCTATTCTGGGAGAGGTTACAGAGTTAGTTACAAGATTAGAAACTGAACGTAAACAAGCTGAAGAAGCTTTGGAGTTTGAGATACAGCGTAGGAAAAAGCTATACTTAAGTGCTGATAAACTGTCACTGTGGAGACTACAACAGCTTCCCATAGCTGTTCAAAAAGGTATGGTTATTAAGATTAAACAGGGAAGTAAATAATCAACATACTTATGAGCCACATTCGATTTCCACAAAATGTATGAAATTATCCCATGAAAACACTGTTCTTTTGGGGAGCTATTTTTGCTTTCAGAAGTAATAGCATGCCCTGAGCATTAAAGTAAGGGTGGTTTTTCTATGTGGCCATTTAAAACGTCTGAAAATCTGATAATCACTCCTAGGGGAAGGGGTGGGGGTTATGTCAGCCTTTCCCTTTATCAAACAATGAGTAACAAAATGCATAATCATATGTACATTTATACAGAATAAGACATACAACTTCTCCAAGCATTCACAAGCTAGCAGAATTAGCTAGAGCATGCTAGAAGTTGTAGGCCTTTTTCTGGTCTAAACATGCATAGAATTGCATCCTAAACAAAGAATATAATAATAATCCAATCTAAATATCTGAGAGACCAAGAGTAAGGCATTGAATTCTTACTTTTAAGTTCTATTTGCATTTATTTTTGAATTTGTATGTGTGCACATGCATGGTTTTTTTGCACATATTTTATTAAGATTTTAAACTAAAAACTAAAATAATCATCAAATACATTGGACGTACTGGGTCAGCCCCCTATAACATATCTTTTAAACATTCTATAATCATTTTCAAATCGATTTATAAAAATTTAAAGACATCTTTAAATCTAAGCCAAGTCCTGTTTCTCCAGCCACTCGTAAAAATGGTCCCAAGTTTGATAGAAGTCAGTATCTTCTTTCTCCTTCAATAATAGAGTCAATCTGTCCATTTCTGCACCGTCCAGAATCTTTTTTAAAATCAGTTCCTCAGTGGGTAGTTCCTCACTCTTCCAGTATTGAGCAAGCACAATCCTCGCTGTTGTGATTAAATGTAGTATCAAATACATTTCTTGTTTGGTAATATTTTCCGGTACAATACCTAACAAGAAAATTTCAGGTTTAAAAGCTAAGGGTTTTTGTAGCATTTCCTCAAGCCATTTATGTATTTTAATCCAATACTTTTTCACATAGTCACAAGTCCACCACATATGGTAAAAAGTACCCACATCATGTTTACATTTCCAACATCTGTTTGACATATTTGGCAACATTTTAGCTAACTGATTTGGCAACAAATACCATCTATAAAACATTTTATATAAATTCTCTTTATACAAAGTTGCTAAAGTTACCTTAATATTTCTCTCCCATAACTTTTGCCACTTTTCTAATTCAATATTATATCCAAAATTTTGTGCCCATGTTATCATAGTTTCCTTAACCTGTTCCCCTTCCATTTTCCTGTCAAGTAGGAACTCATAAATTCTTTTGATCATTTTCTCATCTGTTTTTAACATCACTTGATCAAAGGCTGTTAGGTCTTTATAAAACCCCCATATTTTACAATCTTTAGCATATCTGCACATACACGTTTGTATACATAAGAGTAATGCATAATCTTTACCAACCCTTGCAAAATTTGCACATTTCTTAGATCCTAGGCATATTGACCAAAGAGAGTGCATATTGATAGGGAAATATACACAAATCTTGATATTCCATTGTAATGTGTATAATGGAAATTGGAGAATATACAAAACTCTGTTTTGATATGCACATTCCCCAAAGCATGTAAATTGTCCCACTTCATGGACACACTATGTATGCATTCCTGGTGAGTGGGGGAAGCATGCTTAGTGGTTGGTTGTTATGCTCAGTATTCAATGCTCATAACTCTGAATCGATATAGATATGCATATACAGTAGAAAAAGGGTGGTAGGTACCTGTTTTGTTCATTTTGCCTGCAGGTGACTGTTGTTGGTTGGTCTTGGAAAGTATGTGGAAATTTAGATTTGACTCCTCTGCAAGGAGTTAAAGCCCACCTTTTTTTACCCTTTTTACTCTGCCAGTAGTAACCAGGCAAACTTTTCACATCCATCATTTTAAAATCATGTCAACTAAAATAGTCTTCATAGATCTTTGTGTCTTATAATTCTGGAATTTTGCTGATAAAAAGAATTATTACAAGCTTTTGCACAATGTGGACACTGCTTTCCTTCAGTCACAGTGAGGGACAGTCACAGTGACCTGCAAGTGTAGATGTATTAATAATCAGCTTATATATTTAGTCACTAAATGAAATTGTCATAATTTGTTATATTACATAGCTTATTTTTTTCTTTTACAGAATGGGAGAAATGTTCACAAGATGTTACAGATTTCCAGTGGCATTTTGAAGAAAAAAATCAGCAACTACAGGATGCAGTAGACCAACTGTCAAAAATAGATGTAGTTAATGCAAAGATTCAGGAGCATATAGACTTCATGAAGGAATACAGCCCTCTGCTGGAAGAAAAGCTGACTTTTGAATGTGACTCTATAGAAGAAGCAAAAAGGATTTACATGGAGGTAGATCAAATATTTTAATATTGTTCTTCCTTTTGAGTTGATACATGATCATTCTGAATTTCTGTATGCAAATACTATTCCGTACATCTTAAGGTAAAGAAATGTGAAAGTATATGATAATACACCAAGTATTTCTCTTTTGAAGGTATAAGCAAGATGATTTCTTAAGAAATGCAAAGGTAGATTTATTACAAACTATGGTGTATAGGGTTGGCCAAATGTTGTCATTATTGTGTATGTGTGTGCTTGCCCGTGCACGTTATCAGTCTATATCTTTATATCCATCTATATATGTTAAACTGGTTAGAAGTTTAATATGGTAAGAAATGTAGAAATACGATAAGTGGTATCATGAAATTTTGGCTATTATTATTAATAAAATGTATAGCCAACTAATGATGTTATTTAAGGGAACAATTCTATGGATGTTTAGACAGAAAATAGTCCTATAGTTCCCAGTATTGCCAGTATTTCCCACTTTTTCTATTTAAATATGCATAGGGTTGCACCCTAAATCATTATTTTCTTTTGAATCAGAAATAATTTTATGACACAAAGAGCACAAACCTATGGCCTCTAGTGAGCCATAGGAGACTTTGGAGTCTCAGATCCTGCCTTGGAAAGATGCTCTGAGGTCTCACAGCTGGAACAGTTCTTTCCATGCCAGCTGCTGCTTCAAGGTCATAATACCAACCTTGGAAGCACTACTAGGTGAGCATTCGGGGGGGGGGGGGGGGGGAAGACTGAGACACTGCTGAGATAGAGTTTATTCCAACAGAGCCTCAGTTTGTCCACCCTGTGAACTGGCACAAAAGACTTAGACAGCTGAAACTAGGCATCTAAGTCTTCACTAGGGTGGAAGAAGTGTGGAAACAGTGTTAACCCTCATGCGTCTTCCTTCCTCAATTGGATGCCCATAATTCTTTTATGGAGGGTTATGGGCAGCCAGACTGGATGGTGTGGTAGGGCACAGTCAGATAGCTCCAAGAAGTCCTCAGCCAGTGACCCCCCCCCCCCCCCCGTTGTAGAGCTCCAGTGCCTCTTATGACTGGTACTTCAACCTAGTAGTTGTTGCAAGTTTATGAAGAAAACACTTACTACTATTTCTCATTGGTTCTGTCAAGTAGCATGGGATCTACTTTAAAAATACATTTAAAAAAGAAACAACTTATAATAATTTTCTTATTCAAGCACATCATACCTTACATATAGAAATTGCAGTCCTTGCCCTGCTTCACAACACTTCCGAGATTGGCTGTTTATACCTTTTCAAATGTGGAACTGAAGAAGCAGGAGTCAAGGCGTCTATGGAGATATGAAATGAAGTGATCTCCTAATTAAGATATCAAAATTATACTTTGTACCACAGTAGCTATACTAAAAGATTGGCTATGTAAAACTAATTTCTAGGAGTCAGTTACAGGAATTTTAGACCTCTGATTTCAAGGGCTTTGGAAAGGTACTCACAGTAAACATTTTGGAACTGATAAATTATAATAATATTATTATTATTATTATTATTATTATTATTATTATTATTATTATTATTAGAACATTTCTATGCCGCCCCTTGCCGAAGCCTTGGGGCGGCTTACAACACAATAAAATACAATACAATACAAAAATAACAATATAAAATTAAAATTAATAATATAACATAAATAAAAAATATAAATGATATAAAAGAAGTTATAAAAGAAAAGTTATAAAAGAAAAGAAAAGAAAAGTAAGTTCCACTGTAGGTGTAGGATTACAGCATAAGTCTCACAAAACTCACAGGAATTTTCTTTTGCATTAATTGATGTAGGATTGGAGTTTAAATGTCACTTTTAGTTTTCTCCTTTTTTAAAGTGGCAAAATTCAAAGCAATTAATATATAAAAGAGGTAACATTACATCTTGTCACTTACAAGGTAAGTGAGAATAATATTTCTGATATTATGTGCTTTACACAGTCCAAATAATTTTTATACTTTTAAAAGGCGAAAGCATTATATGATACTGTTCATCAGAAACTACTGATGGTGAGAGCTATACATGCAGAAGTCATAGAAGAGTGTGAGAAGAGAAGAAAATTAATGTCTGAACAAATCCAGGAAGCTGAATTTGTGTTGAACGATCTTATGTAAGTGGCTTTTCAACTTTTGGAATATTTTCTTCAAGAAGACTTTTTAAATTTTTGTTCGCTTCCTTACAGAGTCAACATACAGATAATTGACTTCTTTACACAGACAGGTCTTGGAACCCTTAGAATGGTTTGCTTTTGTTGTATTTATTTATACAGCTCTATTTGTATGGCACTTACAAGCATGTATGAGTGGTTCCTAAGGGGATTGCAGCTTCAAATAGACATAGGGAAACAGCAAAGGAAGGGAAGAAATGGACGTATTGGTAGGCAAGAGAGGAACATGCAATTATTATTATTGCAATTACTTATATTTTGGATTGGTTGCAATAAGGTAAAGGAGATGATCCAAAGGAGGAAAATCTAAAATAGGGCAGTCCAACTTTTTGTACCTCGAGAGTCACATGAGGATTTTAACACGGAATCTGGAGACTGCACAGTGAATTTCTGCAGAGATCACAGGCAGCTCCTTCTCTGACCATAGCCCATGCATGATGACTGCTCCTCTGGGGTGGCCAGCTAAGCATCATGGAATTGGATGAACAAAAGTCAGAGGAAAGGACTTCTCAAGACATAAACACAGAAGAGAAAGATGATTGGACTTGCCATGGGTTGTCCCCTCTTTTCCTATCAGTCCACCAGTCTATCCGAGTGGACTTTATGGTTCAAGCCACTCTGGCCTGCCATGACTGAGAGTCTTTTTTCTCATTGTGAATACCTCTTACCCATTTTTTAACCCCTTTTTGCTGCGTCTGTTCTGACAGTCTATGAAGTGCCCAGCTGGCACATTGCAAAGACTCTCAGTGGTTCACTACCGCTTTTCAAAGCAAACTTTGTACCCCAAGTGTGTGCAAACAGTTAATTTATCCTTAAATGTATTAGCCAGAATTATGCAATTCTAGAGGTGCATGTATATGCATTTCCATGGTTATGAAAATGGATCTATATGCATTCTATGTTAAAATTTGAAGCACATAGTCAATATGAGTTCTTTTTATTGGCATCATATTGATATGAGGCCACTCTGATATCGGAGAGCCAAATGTTAACGCTATTGTGAAAATGTGGATGACATTGTGGAAGAAACTAATCAGAGAATAGTATTGTTTCTCTTATTAAGGATGTTGGAGCCAGTCATCTGTGTTTTCATTTATTAGATGAATGCTTAGAGAAGAAACATGACAACTGGCTGACACATCAAAGCTTTTGGCTGTCAGATACCTGGCTGGGTGATGTGAAATGCTGACCGGTCTGTTTCTGCAGCTGTTGGCATAGGGGAAAAATGAACTGTGATTTTCATACATTTACTTGTCAATACCTATCCAAGTGATATTGGAGAATTATTGTTAATCATGTTAGTTATTTACAACACTTCCAAATAATATATTTTCGTGCAGCAATTACATAGTACAAAATGACTAATGTCTTCAAGTGTTGTTTCATCATCATAGACAAAATGATCTTCAGCGCTAGTGTATGCCATTTCAGATATCTTATGAATGATTCTGACTCCAAGGAAATTAATTGCACCAAACTCACATTTATCAATGGCTCTTGTCCAGGCTAAGTTGACTTAATGATTTCTACAGAACTTGATCACAAATCTTCTCTCGATTAGGACCATCTTCTCTTTGATAAAAGATCATACAATGAGTTGTGCTTTTTGTTGCTTGTTATCTTCTCTCAACAGCTCATCCTACCTTTCAACTCCTGCATATAATGATGAAAATGTGTTAATAACAGATTAGTTTTGTAGAAATGTTGTTGGCAAAAGTGTTTCTCAGCTAAGCTGGTCCACAGCTAACTTATTCAAAATATGCTTCAAACTGTGAGGTGACAAAACTTGCAATCCAAAGTGCACTTACTATTAAAGAAATCCTATTGAATGCAGTTGGGTTTACTTCTAAGTAAATTTACTTAGGATCATATAGCATATTGGATACTAGAATATAAGGAAGTGATTTTAGAACTACTGATAGTAACAGTGGAATGATGGCAGATGCCTGACTAGAATTGGATGATTTTGACAGGCTTTGTGTTAATCAATACATTTTCAGTTGATCTTAAATGGGATTGGACAGATGGATGATTAGCCTCTTACCTTCTCTTAGTAATCGGTTAAAAGAAGATGAAGCCCTTTTCAATGATTATTGTACCAAGATAAATGAACTGAAAGAAGCAATAGCACAAAATAAAATTCTTCTTGAAGAACTGATCAAGCAAGAAACGGATGCAAATACTGACATAATGGCTTGGCATGATAAAGTGGGTTTGTATATATCTATATGTAAATAAACAGATCTTATAAAATGGAATGTCTACTGAAAAGTTAGGTGTCCTGTAATTGCACCCATACACACACGTATTATCTAGTGAAGTTGAAGTTTGATGGAATGTTTTTATGCTCTTCTGCCTGCAAGAAGCTGCCCAGTGTTCAGCAGCCAGCATGCCTGGACAGCTTTTGAGGCCTACATCTATCTCCCAGGAGGGCTCACAGGGCTGACACCTGGGGGACTTTCATTGCCCCACCCCCATGTTGGGTGCTGCCTGATGGGCCCAGCTAATTGGGGAGCATTTCTGCAGTGCTACTCACTGATGCCACTGTCATGAACCAGTTTCCCTGCATGGCATAGGGAGCTGCCAGGATGAAGGGAACTCAACTAACATTGCCTCTCCTCCTGCTTTCATCAGTGGTAGATTCCACTGGATAAGAGTTCCTTCTGTGAATGGAAAGAAGTGCAAATCGGGATCCTAGCTTTAATATTGACTTGATAGCCAGATATTTATTCTCTCTGTTGGATGCCAAAATAGACAAGTCACCCTGAGAAGAAACCATAGTGGGTGGGTGGCTTGTCTCTTAATCTCAACATATGATCACCTACTTGGTGGCTTCCCTTGTATTTCTTGTATCAGCAACTTTGTTGCAATTGCTGTGCTGCATTGCTGACTGATGAGGGGAACCCCCCCCCACTCACACACACTCCCCAGATCACATTAAGGTTTTCCAAGCCTTAATGAACACAGTAATGCATTCACAAACTCTTGCAAAAATGCACAAGACCACTTGTCTGCTGATGAGCTGGATCCCCTATTGCCCATGTGCTTATAATTTTGTCCATCATTTCTGTGTTTTCAAGTGAAAGGTCCCTCTTTTCTTCATTCAACTTTGAAATGACAATTATTTTCTGAACCCTTATGAATGTGGGAACATCTTCACAAACTTTGAGGGGAAGGTTGGGGTCTTGTACGGAGTGCTCTTCCACAGGAGTAGAAGATAGCCTCTTCCCTATTTAGCTGAATATACCTGTATCACCTCAGTGTTTTCTGCTTTGGCACTTTCTTGCTAGCAAATATATATATTGAAGAAGCAAGAAAGGAGGAACAGGCTGCTGCACATTACACTAAATAACCACCCTAAAGCTCTTTCGCTGCAGCTGCCAGCAACATTCAGCTCTTCCCACCCCCTCCATTCCAGTTGCTTCCCTCCACTGGTCTCTGTTGCTAGCTGCCAAGCATACATTTCGTTTTCAAAGCAGTGAGTGCAATCACCAATGTCACAGCGAAGCAGTAAAATGGAAGGGGTAAATTGTGCACATTTCCAGGTAGAGCACTAATACTAAAGGGAAAATAGTAATCTCACAGCATGGCAGAAGATCTAAGAGAGGAATGCACAAATCTCAGGGCAGAACAGTACAGTATAGAAAAAATTGCACAAATTTCATGGCAGAACAATAAAATGGAGGATAAAATTACAAAAAATACAAAAAAACCATAGCAGTGATAAGCATAGTTAAAAGAAACTGTTGCAAACAAATTTGGGATGCTCTCTTGTCTTTTCTTCAAGATTCTTACCAAATAAATACATCCATAATCCACTCTATGGCTGTGAAGTGGTGAAGGAGAATGGTGGTGGCACTAACAAGATTTCAAGGAGCAACAGGGGGTTTTGCTGTTTTTGCCAGGTGGCTCTTCAGCTATTCTGAACAACCCACAGAAAATTCACCCTGCCACATTTGTGCTAGGGCTGCAACAAAGCTCCAAGGAATCCATCCCTCTTCAATTCAAGAGCTTTCTCAAGCTTCACTGTAGAAAGCAAGCCAAGTAAGGGGGAAATCCATGAGCGCTTACAGAATCGTGACTATGCATTCTGCAGCCTTCTACTTCACCACATACTGCACAAACAAAGGCAGTAATTCACAGGTTCAGGAGAGGGACACTGCTTGTGCCGCAGTCATGTGGCACTCAATTCCTTGCAAGTGTTGCACAAATGCTCAGCATGCTCCCCCAGAAAGCAGGCTCATGGCCCCAAGAAGGTGCTTCAGAGTCCAGGGAGCAGAATCCAGGGAATCCAATGGATTTCCACCCACAAAGCAGATTCCTTGCACATTCGTAGATTGAACATCACATGAAGCCACCCTGAGAACAAGCTACTCTAAACAACTCTATTAAAAGCCATGGGTTCTCCATGTGCCTTGTCTGCCCAAAACTACTGTGACAGAAAAATCTTTCCTAGTTCAGACATCATCATCCTAGTTCATTCTGTGTCCAAGCACAATGACAATCCATTCTGTGGCTTTTTGTGGCATGCAAGCCCAGTTACTCTCTTCAAAGCATCTATTTGTTAGTTCTTTAAAACCCATCAACTCACAACAACTTGTCTTAATCCCTTGACACTTTTCCTCCGCAACCTTTCATTTCATCATTACCTATGCATGTTTATTATGATACTGAGAATATGCATATTGCTGCTGTTCTTGTTTTAATTAGTTATCCCCTTTTTGAATCTAGGAGATTTTCATCATTCTGTTAGTTTAGTAAACTATGACTTTAAAAAATCTCTGATGTACATTTTCAAATCCCAGCTTTGTTTAATGCTGGAAGTAAATGTCATGTAAGCAATTACATTATATTTTTAATATTTAGGTAAGGCGTTTGATCTTGAAAATCACCACTCAGGAAAATGAGAACAAAGATTTACTGAATGAGTATCTCGAAGAGATGATATTAATGGAAACTTCTGTAAGTTTACAAAGTTCTGGGGAAAAGAGGTTTTATATTGCAAATGTTACAGTATTTTCATAATATTCTTTATATGCCTATAATGCTTCTTAGAAAACTGGTCAACAGTCTGATATAAAAGACCTGAAAGATAAGCTTATGAAATTAAAGGAGGAAATAGATTATTTGCAGAGGGAAAACCAGATTTTATATAATGAAAATGGAGGATTTCTGCAAAAATTCAGAGAGAGGTAAGTAAAACCATGTTAATAATTAACAATATGATCAAGCCAACTGAAATGGGCTACACTGGATTTTGTCTTTTTATTTTCACTCAAGTGGAATTTTACACTGGATTTTGTCTTTTTATTTTCACTTTTTATTTATTTTCACTATAAATATTAATTAGCCCCCAAAATATGCACTAGCCTGGTGAGGCTGAATGGGCAAGATTATTTTAAGAGGCTGATGGGAATGGTAGCAGCAGACCATTTAGCATACTTGTCAGACCTAACAAGAGGGGGGGAAAGCTTCTTGATATAAAGCAACAGTGGAGATATCAGTGTGGAATACCAACTGGTCAGGCTGGACTTCAGTTGTACATTTTGTCCACCCTATAAAACATATTGCTCTTAATTCTTGAGTCTAAGAAACAATTTTCAGAACATTAAAGTTTTCTTAGCAAAGAACAGTGGTCACAAACTGGGATGATGACGACGATGACGACAACGATGATGATATTTTAATGCCTCAAAATCCAAAGATGAGCACAATAGATAGCCAGTACTTTCTGAAATGGTAACAAGACCATTAACTCATTAACAAAAGTTGCTATTTGCCACAAGAGGAAAGCTACCACTGGCTATTTAAATAATAACAATCAGACATGTTAACCACACATACACATTTACTGTACTTCCTAGTTTGGCTTTGATGGTCTTCATGCACTCTACCTCTTTTAACAAAAGTGCATTTTCTGGTTTCATCTTTGCTCTTGCTAATGCTTTTATCCCGTGGTTCACACATCAGCTTAACTGCTGTACCTTGGCTTATGTGGAAATCATGGGCACAGTTATATGGGATAAAGCTGCATAGAAGCAGTGGAAATTCTAAGCATACATTTGTCATGCCCAGGTTATTTCATTCTTATTCTGCTTTCTAGCAGCTTTCCCCCCTTTTTCTGTGCTATTTCTTCACATGCAGTGCTAGTCCTTGTTCTCCTCTGTCTCACCATCTCTGTTGGTCTTCTCACACCAGATGTTGATTCCTGGGAATGCCAGGAATGTTGCAGTGACAGATGGCACTGACTTCATCCCACTTAAAATGTATGTGGAGGCAGCCACTGGCACTCACATGAACATGAACGCATATTGAATTCTGTGCAAGCTTGTAGCCTGCATTTGACTCCCTCCTGATGTGCTGTCAGTAGGTTGAAGTCAGTGTGAGCTGCTGGTGTTACACTGCTAGACTAAATATTTTACATAGAATGGAAAACTGCAGTTAAAGACTGTAGAATGGAGAGATGGGAAGCAGGCAAAAGTTTCAAGATAATATTACATTGTGGTGCCAGAAGCAGAATGCTTGCTTCCAAGTCTCAGTGTATTCAGTTGTGCTACACAGCCCTAAGTAATGATAACCCCCATAGGTCAGCTTTTCCCAAATTGGTGTCTTCCAAACTTGTTGGACTTGTAGCTCCTGGCATTCCCAGCTAACATGGCCATTTCTGCAGTAGCATCACGTTTAAAATGTCTGAATTTACAGCTTAAATTACCTCTGACATATTCACTTGAGGGAAAGTATAGGCACATGTGTATGCCTATAGCTGCTGTTAATTGTAATTTGGGACTATGTAAAAAGTCTCTCTGAGCAGGATCCAACTAATTTGTCATCCACTAGCACAAAATGAGGTTTGGAACTATGTGCAAGATAAGAATCCAACTAAAATTGCATTTACACAAATATGGTGGTGCAAGCAAGTGTGCATCATGCTTGTGCAACCCACTCCACATACTGCATTGTGAAAGCAATTCCATATGCCACTTGTACAACCTGGTACTGGACTCAACAGAACTTTAGTAGTGGGGTTCCAGAAGAACAACAGCATTGGTAACTGCCCACTGCTTCTAGTTTTTTTTTTTTCGGAACTAAAAATTTCAGAAGTACGTGTCATACAAAGCTGAAAGTTGATGGTTATTTTGTAAGGTTGTTTACACTGACACAGCAGTGATAAACAGTTGTGCTCTGCATGATTATCAGTGGTGTACTAGTATAAAGGTCCTTGAATCAAAAGATGCTTATATAGGTGAAAATGTGGAAGTCTGGCATTTATGCGAACGGTCTTCTTAAACTGCTTTTACAGTGCAGTTCTGTGAGGATGCCTGCAACCTTCTAAACTCAGAGGGCATCCTATACAGGGTGGGAGGAATGCAGAAGCAAGGTTGCCTCCATGTTCCCCTGGCCCTGCAAAGCAGCTAGAAGGATGATTTCAGCTGTCTAACTTAGGTGCTTCGGTGCTTTTGCAGCTTTGGAGAAGCAGCTAGTGTACTTCTTTGCGTGCCATCTGTGAGTGGCATGGAGGCTGCTACAAGTGTGGAGTCCCAGTTCTCAAGTCAGAGCTGGGACTACAACTATGGGAATGCTCTCTAGGAGCCATAGGATTCCTCTGCCCATCAATGAATGCATTAAGAATTTGGCAAACTCATCAGTCCATACAGTAGACATAGGCGTTTTAAAAATCAGTATATTCCTAACTAAAAGTGAAGCAAAATTAAGGCCTTTGCAAGAGTACTGGATATGTTTAACTCCTATAGTATATTTTTGGAGATGTGCTAAGGTTTGTAAGGTGCTGTTTTTAATAATAATAATAATAATAATAATAATAATAATAATAATAATAATAATAATTTTAACAGTACAAGAAGAAAAATGGGATATCAAGCAGAAATCCAGGTTTTGCTGAAAAATATTCGTAGACTGGAAGAACATTTAAATAAAGTCAGTAAAGAACTTTGTTCAGTTGAATTAGCTTATGATGAAGCCAAAAATAAACTGGAGGAATTGGAGCAAAACATCGTGAAAGAAAAAATGCGTTTCAAGGTTGTTTAAAGTCATTCCATTATTATGATATTTAATAATTTTAAGGCCTGAAAGATAGAATAGCATGTTCCTGTGTAAATCCATGCATCTTTTAAACATGATTTTGCCACATTATCTGCTAGATTAGAAGTATGACATAACCTAAATTTCTCTAAGTAATAATATAAAACTGGCTGTATATGGAAAAGCAACTGTGAGTCAATGTTGCCAACCACTTTTCTGGCTAGTATAGCTATCACTTTGCTTAATGAGCAGGGTTTAATAAATAATGATACCTACTTTTATGATGCAAAAAGCTGGATCTGCTGTTTTTAACAGATCAAGATGCCATCAAAGGCACAAGGCAAGCCCTTTTTTTTCAGTCCTGTTGACAACTTTACTCTGAATTGTTCTCATTCAGCTGCAAGCAGCAAGTGTCCCAACCCAGCGGAAGAACTCTGTGCATGGAATCAACTTTTTGCTTATTGCAGTGTTCATCCAAACTTTGTTGAACAGGCAGGAAGTAGCTATGTCCCTCTGTATCCAGAAAACCAGTAGTTATGTAAATTATTTACTGATGCTATAGCTGGATTATGACCAGGCTGTTGCCCAATGGCTTCAATTTCTTATAACTGTTTTTTTTTTTTTTAATTGAAAAGAGATGCAAGGTTCTGCTTTGGTTTAACCAAGCAAAATTACATGTAAGCTATATGGAAGAAGCCATATGAATGAATATCAAACTTACCTTTTTAAGGCAATTTATAATCTGAGTGTGGCATCCAATTAGTGCCCCTCTTTTGATGGAGGAGGTCTGAGTAGACTGCAAGGGGGAACAGATTTTACTGATTCTCTTCTCTCTTAAAGCCGCACATGCTGCCTCCTCTGCTGTTCCCTTATGTTCCAGAGCAGATACTGAAGGGGCATGGAGGGAATGTTGCAAAAAAACCACGCTTCTTACTGTTCTGCAGACAAATGCTTTCAGTCAGAAGGAGAAGGAGGATGCGAACCTAATTCTGAAAACTTTTCTCTCTCTCTAGTGGATACCGCCATTCTGAATAGCATCTTATGTCTGGAGACTCCTATTTTTCTGTTCTCTGAGATCTTGTGAGCTTGTGTGCTCTGCTTTCTATGAACTGGTCACATATGAACACATTATGGATTGCAAACCTCTCTATGCATCCTTACTGCAGTCCAGGGACACCCAGGCTGCATTAGATCTTGCCTCTCACATTCAACATTGTGAAGATTAAATTGTAATATGGCAGCTTCTGACAAACATTTCCTGAAATGGCATGTACATCCTACACTTTCTGAGTGTCCCATGGAGAAATTGAAATGGCCATTTTTGTTTTTGGTTTCCTCACACTGAGGCAGGATTTCTTTTTTCCTAATATGACATGGTAAAAGACAGCATGCTGTGGTGGCTACTCTTGGACTTGGATCCATGTGACCCAGCTTCATGTTTGTGTAGTTCACTGTGTGCTTGGCACTTGAGTGTAACAGAACCTTGTGGAGCTGGCTTCCTATATATTAGTATTAAATAATAGGATCTCTAATATCGCACAACCCTTATCACTCCATTGCCATATTTTCAGCTAATTTTTAATAGCTTTTTGCCATCTAATTTACAGAATATGCTTTGAAAGGGAGACATCTATTATATGACTGATCCATTTCTAGCAGTTTTTTGTTTGCTTGTTATAGAATGCATCATTTTTTCCCTATTGCCTTTTTACTTATAGAACTTGGAAGAAAATATTAAAAAACAAATTAAAGATGAAGTAAGTGCTTGGAAGCTGACCCAGGTAATGAGAACAGTGGGTTTTTATTAATTTTCTATATTGTTTATTTTACATAGTTTATAAAGTAATTTTTGAACAATTAGCACTGCACAAGCAGCACTAAAATGGTAAAGGCACCAATCCTTCCTTGCAGATGTAACATACCCTGTAGAGAGAGGGAGGGATAGGGATATGGGAGGTAAATGTGACCCTCCGGTCCACACATGTGTGTATGTTTGATTTGGATTTTATTGGGTACCATGCTTTCCCCTGATGCTGCCTAATAAGAGGCATCATGAACCTAGGAATCTATGACTTCTCTTACCATCTAACATTTGTCCTCAATAGGGTGTCATTTGGTATTATGGATTTTGTCTCCAAGTCTTTAAGCACCTGGCTAAGTTTTATCCCATCTCTTCTCTTGTTCATCACCATTGACACTAATCTCCATTTTTTAAAAATGTTACTGAAATTATGGGCTATGTAACATTTTTCAAATGCAGAGTAATCATTTGTCAACATCATGTATGGTGGAATGCCCTTGCGATGGCCTTTGCCAGGAGAGAGACAGGAGCAGTGCAACCATGTTGATTCTCCTGGACTTTTCAGCAGCTTTTGACACCATCAACCACAGTGTCCTTCTGGCTGGGCTGGGAGTAGGAGGCACTGCTTTGGGATGGTCCCACTCCTACTTGGCTGACTGATTCCAGAAGGTGGTGCTGCTGGTTTGCTGTTCTGGGCCATGGCAGTTGTGCTACCAGGTGCCACGGGGCTTCATTTCATCCCCCACACTTTTAAAATCTACATGATACTACTGGAAGAGGTTATTTGGAGGTATGGGGTAAGGTGTTATCAATATGCAGATGACACTCAGCTCTACCTCATTTTTTCACCAAATCCAGGTAAGGCAGTGGCCATTCTAAATCAGCACTTGAACTCACAAATCGACTGGGTGAAGGGCAATAAGCTGAGACTCATTCCAAGACAAAACAGAGATGTCATTCTCTCTGCCATTTTAGGAACAATGGGCAACAGGGAAGGAACATAAGGAAAACACCCATCCATTTTTTCGATACCCTCAAAATGTAGAGGCTGCTTATGCATAAACATCTCTATACCTATTTATCTGAAACTTGGCAGGCTTGTTCTCAGAAGGTGCAATTGTCCCTCCAAATTTTATGCAATTCTGCAAAAAATAAAAAGTTATTCACAGTTCTCTTTTTAAAAAATCAAGATATAAAAACGTGTTTACAAAGTCTTTTTCTATTTTGCTTTTCCTGCTTTTTCTACTATTCAGCAGACATAATCCACCTAATGGGCTACTGTGCCTACATTTTTTTTTCCAGAAAAACAGAAAAAAATGTTATAGACATTTAAAAATTATTTTGTGAGAATCAATAGGAATCACAAAGCTTCAGTCTGCCAAATCTCTGCTCAGATTCAGTACCTGAGGCAGAGCTGCCATGTATGAGAAATTAACTTTTTGCCCAATAAAAGCTATTGTTATTTATTTATTGATATTTTTATATACCATCCAATTATTATAAAATCTCAGGATGGTATTCTATTAATATGTGTTCTTAATAGAAGGGAATATTAATATTATTGGATTTCTTTGTTTCTTTGTTTTGAGGTACTGCAGTGTAAATATTTGTTTATCTTATGAACAGAAAAGAGTTAAGGCATTGCAGTCAGAGCTAGAGAAAATGCAAAAGGAACAAATGATTGTAGAAGAAAACATTCAGAAGAAATTAGCAGACCTTGAGGAATGTGTCGCCGAGCAATCAGCCATTCTAGCAAGAAGTAAAGATATGCAAAATGATTTGAATAAGGTAAGTTACAGTCAGCTAACACAAATATCAAACTTTGCTGTGTTTCTAGGAAAGAAGGTTTCAGACTAGCACTTGGAATGAGACATATCCATTAAAACCTTATTGTGATTCTAATGTTTTAAAATAATTTATATTTTTAAATTTAATGTAAACTATGATGTTAGCCTTTAGTAAAATATATTTTAAAGCACTAATAGTAATTTCAAAATAGTATGCTAACAGCAGTGAAAAATACAGTTAGCCCATCCCCAAGAGAAAAAATTAAGAGAAACAATGTGACAAAGACCACATCATTAGTCTTTTGGAGGCTTTCAGGGGGCGTGGTACAAGTTATATATCCTTGTCCTTAACTGTACATGTATTTTGGTTCAAAAACATGAAAGCAAAGTTCATAGAAGCATCCTCAGACAGAGATTACAAGTTTATATTTTTCTTGTCCCTTAGACTAGTCCATGCTTGCATTTTAGTAATAGGTGTAATTCTATAGCTTGTTGAATTTTCTAAAAAAATAAATCAGAAAATTTTATTTTTAGTGGCAACACAGTGAAACTTTGCTATGCAACAAATTCTTACATCCAAAAGGTGCTTTAGAAACAGATCTTATGATAATGTTATTTATTGCAAGACATCTTTCCTCATAGAATAATAGAGTAGTAGAGTTGGAAGGGGCCATGAAGGCCATTGGGTCCAACCCCCTGCTGTTGCAGGTCCAACCCCCTGCCCTCAGTCTAGATTATATTTGGCTTGATTTATGACTGAAGGTATATAGTTCCAGAAACAATTATGTTGTGACAACCCTGACAAACTGTTTAATGACAAGTGCAATGCAAGTAAACTATAATTGGGTTCAGAAACTAAAATATTTTCATGGTCCACATTGTTATGGGAATCAGTCATAGATTCAGTGATCTGGAGCGAGAGATATTCCTGACTGTTTCTGAATGCTCAAGGGATCTTTAGAAATGGGTTTCTCATGTCACATAGTGATCACTGTTGTCAATGGGTAGAGTTTCAAAAGCAAGTTTGTACCATGTTTTAGAGTTTCCCCGTTCAATGGAAAAAGCATCTTTAAAAAACAAAACAAAACACCAGTGGGCACACTGATGTCCTTGGATATCATTTGGATCCTGGCTTCTGTTGATCTCTATGTAGTCAATATGGGCTGTGAAATGTAGGAGAAGTGGTCAGAGCACAGCTGTTCTTTAGTGTCTGATCTCTAAAGTGAGAAAAATAGTGCTGTTAATCACATGTTAGGCAGAAAATAATAATAAATAATCACATCTGAGTAGGATTCTTGTGCATTTGGCTTGGATTATTCAAGTCAGGCCAAGTGCCAGTATTGTTGGGTAGCTGTCATGGTCCACTGCAGAATCCTGGTACCTCGTGGCCCTGCTGCTGCTCCTGCTTGCTCTTCTTGCCTCTCCATCTGTCTTCTCTGAGCATGCAAGCAGTCAAGGAATAGAGGAATGGAGGTGCCTTCTCCATCTGCCTTCTGCTGTGGGGATTTGTGCAGCTCAGGCAAGAGGATGGACAATGGGGGACAGTGATGAGGAAGAAGTAGAATTAGAAAGGGAGGGCAGCCCAATAGGCAACCAAGGCCTGGTGCCAACATTGGCAGAAGGAATGCAGATGCTGGTGAATTGTGAAAATTATATATTAGTGTATATAATGTATGGATCAGTGAATTTTTCCTCTATTCAATAGCATTTTTACAATATTAAAAATATATAGGATGAAGCTGAATGCTACTTATAAGAAACGTAAATATACATGTAAAAGGTATTTACCAGTTAATATACCTTGCATGAAATGAATTGAATTTTATTACTCTTTTGTTTATGATTTATTCCCTCCCCTACTCAGAAAACTTCTGATTTGAAGCAGAAGATTCAAGAACTCGATGAAGAGGAGAAAAAAATTAAAAAAGAGCTAGATGAGCAGAAGAATTATTTTAAAAACCTATTGGCCAATATAGAGGTGAATATATTAATATTAGTACTTTAAATTCACTTTTAAATGCTTGTCTTGATGTATATAGATGTAGACTATTCTGTTTCTTGCTTGAACTAACTTATCAGATCCACAGCCTTAGGGTGAGGTAAAATACAAAAGTGAATTGATACTGGGGCCATCGAGAAGCCCTCTGTTTCTTCGTTTGCCATGCTGGCTCATAATGCTTTGGGGCTTTAGAAAATGAAGGACAAAAATAAAATACAAGGAAGAAAAAGGATTGGACCATTATAGAAATAGCCTGCTGATTGCACCTTTGCACAGCAGATGGCATCTTCTTGTAAATTATGGTGTATGTTTACTGTAGTAGTTATCAAGTTGCCTATGTTAGCAAAGGAATCATTTTGCTTTTTATTACCTGAAAGCTACATCAGTGTAAACATGCCTATTAATATGAGACTTTGCATAAAAATGCAGTATTTGTGATTCATTGGTATTTAAGGAATAATAGTGAAAAAATGATAAAGCTCATATCATTAAATAGGTGAGTACAAAACTTTTCATTGAAGTAGTTTTTTTCAGTCTTACATACTATCTCCAATCTTCAACCAGTTATTTTTGAGAAATTAAAAGCATATTAGAAATCAGACAATGTATATTCTAGCTATACATGTAAATGGCTATACATGTCTATACTGTATATGGCAAGTATATGCTATATTGTACCCCAGTATACAGTGTGTTCATTATGCAGAGGAACAGAATATATACCTGAGTGTTCCAAAACTAGGAGTGAGATAAACTGGCCATTCAGCTCCTATTCAGTTTCTTACTGATTTATTCTGAGATAACCAAAGACTGACAGTGCAGTCCTATTCAGAATTAAATCTGGTGAACTTCCCCAGTAGCAGAAGAGGCTAGTGTGTTTGAGGGAGTTAATCTAACTGCTGGCAACGTAACTTAATCATTGGGGAGGGGGGACACATTTGTAAAAAAGGGAATCCATTAATAGGGAAAGTCATCTCCCCTCCAAGGTCTGTAACACATATTTTAAAGTGGAGTTCTTCTGTTTTTGGAAGGCAGATCCTGGATCTAACCTTTAAGAGGAAGGGCAAGATATAAATAGAATAAAAGTTACCAAAGTACAATGAATGGAACTATAAAGTACCTAGGAAGACTGAAACAAAGACACAGCTGCCGATATCCCATACACCGCACAACTGAAGTGTCCATTTGGTTAGCCAAGTCTGAACCCTTAGTTTTCATGGGTCTCATCCAGAGGAACAGGAACTCTGCATTGGATTAATTAGGCACTTCATTGCTTCTTTAATTAGGCTCTTATCCCAAGGCCCAGATTCTTTGCTTGTCAAACTCACCAATAATTCAGGGGCCAAAGTTTAATACATGACTAAATGCATGAATTAATGCCTTAAATTTTCAGCCTTAATCAATGTTCTTGTTCCAGAGGTATATATGCCCACTGCTACAGTCTACCTGTACACTACAGTGGTCTAATCACATAAGACATTATTCACATATCTGCTTGAGTGCCTGACCACCCAATAGATGGCACTATTAGCATTGACACTGTAACTGGCAAGTTTGGGAGTGATGGGGAAACTTGAATCCCAACTCCCTTGCCCTTCCTGTCTCTTCCCTAGCAGGTGGCTGCTGCAGTGACAACTCACAGGAATGATAAACAATTTGGCACTGTGATTTGGCTCCCAGTCTAGTTCCAGAACCTGTCATACAGCTGTTAAAGATGAGGAGTCTTATCAGAAAAAAGAGGTCACAAGTTAGCATTAACATGGGTGAATACACAGGGATTCAAACCCACATCTTTATGAGCCTTTGGCCTGGTTGAATAAATCTGTCAGTTTCCGCTTCTCCCATGTTTACATTAAAAAAGCCATCAAGTCCTTTTAGTCTTGAATATGGGAAGTTTTGACTGAGACTAAATTCTTACCCATGCTGCATACAGAGCAAAAGGGGTTTTCTTTCTCTGGAACCAACATGGAAACCAAGGTGACTGGTAGAAGGACCTGCCTCCACTGAATCCCTCATCATCTGTGAGGAAGATTGTTTAAGTCTAACGAGTCTTGATTTAAATGCACATGTTTTATTATTTTTGCTCAAAATGGCCATTTCTAAATGTATGCTGTGTTTTGAACGGAGGACTGTTTTGCAGTATTTGGAAGAGTACAGAAAGCCATGAATAGCTGTCTTCTAAATTGCTCATTAATCCAGAAGGGGTGGCTCAAGTAGGTTCGTATCAGAATTCAAGAAGACTGAATTCCTCAGACATCTTCAGCCACATCTGCTTCTGTGAGAACATCTTGCCATAACATTCTTAATAATAACAGGGACTTGAGAAGCCCAAAAGAAGTTTTCCTATAATTACCTTCAAAACCTTGTGGCGTTAGTATTATTTTGTTCATGCAGAACAAACTCCAAGATTTTTATTAGATACCATTTGGCTGTTTTCCTCATACTGTGAATTCAGACACTGAACAACCACCACCACCAGTATTTATATAGAATGTTAGCGTGTTCAACAACCATGAAATTTGGTCAGTATTATTATACCCATAATTTAGTTAATGGAGCTGAGGCTGCAAGACAATAGCTTGCCACTTAAGATACAATCCTGAAAAGGTGAGCATAAGACTCTAAACTTATTCACATTCATCTAATGCACAGCAGAAGGAGCGGCAAAAGCAAGCATCATCCCCTGTTCCTCCCACTCTTAATTATCATTAGCTGACTGTTTTTGGTCATCTAACAACAATGTCTCAAAGGAAGAAGAAAGGCGGTTGGAGCAGTGATACATCAGATGGTTGCTTCTCCAGTCTCCTCTCCTTTCCTCCTCCTGTAAGATTCCCTTGAATTTCTCCCCAGGGTTGTTTTCCTGACCCCAGACAGCAGCTATTGTAGTTCTTTCCTCATCATCTGGAAGGGGGTAGGGGAGGTAGATTGGAGCTTTGCTTCTTAGCCTTGAGAACTATCCTATGGCACACTCTGATAATGCTGAGGGGTCATAAAATTGAGTTCTGTGAATTTGTGGCAGAACTGAGATTTGAACCAGCAGCCTACCAACTCACACTCTGAACCATTATACTACACTGGCTATCACCATGATTTATTTAATAGCATAAGCAAAGTGTAGAATACTGCATTGTCTACACAAGAACACACCTGAAAAGATGTTTCTGACAAAGGCACATCAGGTAATATGAGAATGTTTTAAAATATATTCTTTGAATTATTTTAGATTTCTGGTATTGTATTTGAGAATAGTAACTTTGATGTATAAGTCTGTTCTTTACAGAAATGGCATTATTCCACTTGCACTAAATGTTTCAACTGCACTTCTGAAAACAGTTCTATTTCTTGGGTATTCAATTTCATGCATCGTTGCACATAATTGTGCACTTAAAACACAATATCAGGATATCTTGCCAGGCAAACTTCACAAGTGTGTGTGTGTGTGTGTGTGTGTTTATTTCTAATTTTCAGGAGAAATATTTAGATATTTCGAGTCAGCTGGCTAAAGTCAATGGAGATATTGCAAAATTTCAAAAGGAAATTGCTAAACTAAATAATTTAAGTGAAAAAAAGCAAAAACAACTGGATACCACACAGAAGTGTTTAGCAGATTTGAGGTAAGAGCCTCAGGTCCTATAAGCATGGAAAATGTTTAATTTGTGTCCCTCCCCTGATGGAAAAGGGGGCAATTTTTGGTGATTCTGCATCTCCCACTGTTCTGAAGAGCTCCACAACCAGCCACAGCAGACCGGGATGGCAGAATAGTAGGCTGTAGAAGAAGAGGACTGCTTCAACCTGCTCCCCTCCATTCCCATTGCACAGATGGATACATTCCATAAATGAAGAGACAGCAGTTGAATGCCACAAGAAAAGCACTAGATTGTTGTATTACCTTCACTGTGTTATTTGAAGATATATCAGTATTAATCAGTGAATAAGGAAATAATACTTTAGGCGTACTCAGTCCAATTTCAATTTCTGTTCTGCTGCATCTTTTATTAGCAGATATCTATTCATTTCATTTTTTTCTGTGGAAAAAGAAGTGAAAGGCTTTCATTTCCTGGGAGTGATAAGTTTTAGAAAATAGACACAAAATTTTTTGTTCAGCTGAAAATAATGCCATGGTTGCCTTGAATGACCAAACATTCTGATAGTCTTGATCCTTGGGTACAATTATGGATTAGGTATATGGGGAACTTCAAAATTTCCTCATATTTAGTCAGAGACATTTTTGCATATGCATGAGCAACTTAACACTGCCATTATAAATGGTGAAAAGTGCCTGTTTTCTCATACCACTTCCTACATTTAGGACTATACCACAGGAAGATCCTATGTCATCTTCTTAAAGGAAGTGGAAAGAAAAAATGCTTTTTGTAATACTAAAGTCAGTAAATACATATTGTATTTACCAATACATATTGTTACTATGAACAGCACACAGCTCACAACATTACTGTAATATTTTTAATCCTCTTTTCCCAGGTTCTTCTGAAATTTAGTTAAGCTTTTTTGGTCTCTCTGCAGGGAGACAGAATAGACAAATAGATGCTTTCTTCATGGTCATTATTGACTGATTATGCTAGTATTGCCTACTCATGTCCTTACTTCTCACCCACTATGGCTTTATATTTACAAGTTGATAGATATCACAGAAATACTACAAGTCCCAAGACCTGATTTTCACAAAGGAATTAAATCTGTAAGTCTGCCTTAGAGTTTCCTACCACTTGGAGAAGTAGGGAGTATTAAACAATAACTTCTAACTTCTTCATTCATCTGATGAAATTGGCATGATCTAGTAGACACTGTTCATCTAGACTTCCAAATGGCTTTTGACAAGTCCCTCACCAAAGTCTTCTGAGCAAACTAAGTACTCAAGGAATAAAAGAGGAAGTCCTCTTATGAATACAAACTGTTTAAAGAGCAGAGGACAGAAGGTAGGAATAAATGGTAATTTCTCCCAATTGAAGAGATGTCAACAGTGGAGTCTGACAGGACTTGGTATTAGGACCAATTCTTTTCAACCTATCCATAAATGATCTGGAGTGAGGAGTAAGTAGCAACATGGCCAAGTTTGCCACCAAACTATTTAGAATGGTCAAAATCTTGAGGGATTTTGAGGTACTCCAAAGGAATCTCACCAAGCCGTGGGAATGGGCATTGAAGGGGCAAATGCAGTTCAGTATGAGTAAGTGTAAAATAATGTGTGCTGGGACAAAAAAATCTCAATTGCAAGTACATATTGATGAGATCAGAAGTAGCAGTTACAGAGCAAGAGAGGAATCTTGAGTGGTAGTAATGAAAATGTCAGCCCAGTGTGCAGCTTTTGTGAAGAAGGCAAACTCAATCCTAGGCATAATTAGGAATGAAATAGAAAATAGAACTGCCAAGATCTTACTCCCTTGTAAAAATCCTTGGTGTGACCACACTTAGAATGTGGTGCTCAGTTCTGGTTGCCTCACCTGAATAAGAATATTATTTGGTTAGAAAAAATAGCAAGGGGAACGAAAATGAAGGAGCTGGAGCATCTCCACTATGAGGAATAGCTGCAAAAACTGGGAATGTTAAGCTTAAAAAAGGATAAGTAAGGGGAAACATGGTAGAGGTGTTTAAAATTATGCATGAAGTGGAGCAAATGGTGAGGGGAACATTTTTTGCCTCTCCCATAACACTCAAACCTAGGGTTATCCCATGAAGCTGACTGGGGAAGGCTTAGGAGAGACAAGAGAAAGTACTTCTTCATACAACATATAGTTAAATTCTGTGCCACAGGAAGTAGTGATGGCCACAAACATAGATGGCTTTAAAAAAAGATTGGGTGGGTTCATGGATGTAGAGACTACCTGTGGCTACTAGTATTACAGTATTGGCTATGTGCTGCCTCCTTTACCAGAGGTGCCATGCCTGTAGACACCAGTTGATGAGAAGCTTGAGCAAGCGGGGGTCTTGCACCCATCCTGCTTGAGTGATCCTGTGGGCAGCTGGTTGCTACAGTGTGTACAGAATACTAGACTAGATGGACCTTTGGTCTGATCCAGCATGGCTGTTTTTGTGTTCTTATATACGAACATTTATGCCACAATAATTATGTTTATTTTAAAAGTCACTTTCATCCAGCTTCCCATGATTGTTAAAAACAAGTTTCTTGAAACATATAGTGACCAAGCCTCATTAGAATTCAAGGGCCTAAACAATCAATTTTACATTTGGTGAGGTGTTGTTTTTTTTTTAATATTGCACAATTTTGTATGTCCCTCTCCTTTAACACAGTAGTCAGTGCACATTTTTCAAAAATGAAAGGTCTTGGATTCAGTCCTGACACCTCCAAGCAAAGGACCTTTGGTAGCAGGGCTGGGAAAGAGTCTGATGCTTAGAAATTTGCTGCTGCTCTGAGGAGATAGTGTTAGACTAGATGGACAAACTGTCCTACTCAATTTAAAGCAGCGTCAAATGCTTTATGTTTCTATGAGCTATCTAGTTCTTCTGTGCAAGATTTATTGAGCCATTTGCCCTTCAGCAGCACCTCCTGCCGAACCCCAAATTGCTTTTTAAACTCCTCTGAGTTTAAAAATCAGTTTGTGGTTCGGCAGGGGGAGCTGCTGAAGAAGAAATGGCCCGATAAACCCTAGCCAGACATGTACATTGTCCCTTGTGCACATATAAAACATTTCACTAGATCACAGCCTCGATGTTTCTGCAAGATCAGTCTGCCTAGCAATTCCATATAATATTTTATCCTGGTAATGATTATTTCTCTCTCTCTGTCTCTCTCTCTTAAAGGGAAAAATATGCTAGAATTAATGCAAAGGAGCAGAATGCTCAGAGATTAGTAGATTTTCTCCATGATCGGCTGGACTATGTTGAAAAAAAAGTAATGACAGACAGCAGAGTTTTTGAAGAGCAACTGTGGGATAGACAGAAATCTCTGAAAGCTAAGAAGGTCTGTGCAGATTGAACTGGTTTTGTTTGTTTGAGAAATTCAATAGATAATGGGTTAAATATCACTGCCCTGGATTAAATATTTCAGCCAAACAGGGATTTCCAAATGAAGACAGATTCCTGTGCATGAGCCTCACCCTCATTTTACCTGGGGAGATGGCCAGTAGCAACATACCCTATAAGATTCTATGATGTCAGGCCATGCACTGGAAATCAATAATTTCAGCAACTGGTTTCACTTTTATTTGGAAGAGTGAAATGAGAATGCTGGGGGGGTGGGTCTTGTTATTGATGATGCAATCTTCACAGTTCATTAACATTTATGTTTGGAAGTTTTACATCCTAAGTGCAATCTTATGCGGGTCTACTCAAAAATAACCCCCACTGAGTTCAATGGAATTTACCTCAAGTAAGTGTGTATAGGATTGCAGCTTTAATCTTTCAATCTGGGATGTTAAACGTCTATTTGGAAGACATGAATGAGTGGGCTTTTTTGTGATAGTTCTGACTCCTATGACTGACTAAATATATTCAAATTGCAACCTACACCCAGTAAACATTCACTAGGCAGTAATTGCTTTCTGTAACTTGCCAATACCTTTCCAGTGAAAGGCTCTCAATTCACTTAACAGTAAAGTGTGGGTATTGGTAGGGCAGGAATAAGATCCCTGACGTACATGCAGCAACATTCCATTGTGCCAATTGCAGTTTAGTGTGAAGCTGATGAACAACCACATACAACCACCAGCAAGAACTTGGCCTGGGGCTGTTTATAGATTGCAGACACAAGCAGTTTATGGTATTGATATGCTTGCTGATGAGGGCTTTAATGCAAATATGAAGGAAGATGGGGATGCATGCTCTGCCCCTACTCCTTCCACACTGCACTCCCCGTCATGGCATTGAAACACAAGGTCTGCAAACCTGCTCTAACCACTTTTAGATTAATCTGGTTATAGAATTCTAGGGGACTAAAAACCCTGATAAGCCAGGGTTCCCCACTACGTGGAGAAGCAAACACACTTATACTGCCCATACAGATTGTGCCTATCAGGAGTGGAGAATGGATGCTTCCCCAGCTCCTTCACACCTACACCAGCAAACACCCTGATGGGTTCTATGGCCACATCCTTTATTTTTGGTGGGCTAGCCTGGAATGCTGACTGACCAGTTGCTCTGAGTAATGCATATCTTGCTGCGAGGCAGGAAACAAGCATTCCATCTGATTTTGGTTTTAACTTTATACGCATTTGTCTTGTCCTCTATTTTATTTATGTATGATTAAATGCATCAAACTCTCCTGGATTATTTGCTCTCTCTTAAAAATACAATATAGATTTGAAAATAATCAGTTCCCATTTGCAGTTTTGAATCATAATGTATCAAAGCTGGAACTGACAACTAGAGTTTCAAAAGAAACAATGATTATCAGTATAAAGAATAAGTTTAAATTTTGAAGAATCATGCACACCTGCATGAATATTGGCATTTGCTTGAATAATATGCACTAGGGATTCCAAATGTAGATCAAATATCAATGGAGAAAGTGGACATCCCTGTCTGGTATGTCCCCTCCAATATTAATGTTCCAACCAACCCATCCATTTATAGCTTCCCAGTCAATGCTTTCCGTTAGAATTTCCCAGCTAGTGCCTCCTACAATATCTCCTTCATGGATTCGTCCACCTTAACTATTAGTGTAACTGATCCTATTGCATTGAGTTCTCTGCCCACCCCCACCCCCCAGTTCTCCATTCCCCACCAGTTCATAGATTAACCAAAGTTTTTTCAATGTTAGTAGCTCTGTCACATCCAGCTGGAATGCAGGGAGCACGACAACCTATGCTGTATCTTCCAGTAGCTTCTCTGGGTTCTGGTACCAGTGATCCTATATGTGAGTCAGCTTCAACTTTGCCGTATTCACTAGACACCTTCTTGCTGGATGTTGGAGTAGGGTTCCACAACACAATTTTTCCATCAGTAGATCTGAGGCCATTCTTGGATTAGGTTATTTATATGACCCAGTCTTGAGGACCTGAGACATAATAACCCATTTCTGCTTTCAAGACCTGGTGTTCAGTGCTGTGAACACCAACCTTTCCAGGTCCATGGCAATTCCTCTGCTCTTGATTTTTCAAAATATCATATTATTGTGAAAGACCGCCCCCACCCCCCCGCAGTCAATGCCTCTCAGGTCTAATTGGCTTGGTGGGATATATCAAGGTCTGGAAAAGGACGTGAGTTTCCTCTTCATCCATCGTACTCTGAACTCTATACTGACTGAGATAGCACAGGGTCCACCATGAATGCACTCGTTTTTTGATGATAAAGACATGCATGAATGCACTGATGACTGCTCCAAGAACTACTCTTGGGAACCCACTTTTCTTTGATGAAACTTTGATGTTGCTCAATACTGCTTTGATTTCTGGCTTTAAATAAAAATAATGCAGAGAAACAAAAACAAGATTGTGCTTTGATTGCACTTCTGATAATATACTGTTAAAGTATGAACAGTATGTGATCCTAAAATAAACAGCATCTTCTAGAACTTGTAGAACATTTATAAATTTAAGTATTTATGTCTTTTTGAGTATGACTGTACCAGATGTCTGTAGTTGCAATTTATCTTTGTGGCTTGGTGATTTAAGAGCATACAGTATATCACAGAAGTGAGTACACCTCTCACATTTTGTAAATATTTTATTATATCTTTTCATGTGACAACCCTGAAGAAATAACATTTTGCTACAATGTAAAGTAGCGAGTATACAGCTTGTATAGCAGTGTAAATTTGCTGTCCCCTCAAAATAACTCAACACACTGCCATTAATGTCTAAACCGCTGGCAACAAAAGTGAGTACATCCCTAAGTGAAACTGCCCAAATTGGGGCCCAAAGTGTCAATATTTTGTGTGGCCACCATTATTTTCCAGCACTGCCTTAACCCTCTTGGGCATGGGGTTCACCAGAGCTTCACAGGTTGCCACTGGAGTCCTCTTCCACTCCTCCATGACGACATCATGGAGCTGGTGGATGTTAGAGACCTTGCACTCCTCCACCTTCCGTTTCAGGATGCCCCACAGATGCCCGATAGGGTTGAGGTCTGGAGACATGCTTGGCCAGTCCATCATCTTTACCCTCAGCTTCTTTAGCAAGGCAGTGGTCGTCTTGGAGGTGTGTTTGGGGTCGTTACTATGTTGGAATACTGCCCTGCGGCCCAGTCTCTGAAGGGAGGGGATCATGCTCTGCTTCAGTATGTCACAGTCCATGCTGGCATTCATGGTTCCCTCAATGAACTGTAGCTCCCCAGTACCGGCAGCACTCATGCAGCCCCAGACCATGACACTCCCACCACCATGCTTGACTGTAGGCAAGACACACTTGTCTTTGTACTTCTCACCTGGTTGTTGTTGCCACACACGCTTGACACCATCCAAACCAAATAAGTTTATCTTGGTCTCATTAGACCACAGGACATGGTTCCACTAATCCACGTCCTTAGTCTGCTTGTCTTCAGCAAACTGTTTGCGGGCTTTCTTGTGCATCATCTTTAGAAGAGGCTTCCTTTTGGGATGACAGCCCTGCAGACCAATTTGATGCAGTGTGTGGCATATGGTCTGAGCACTGACAGGCTGACCCACCACCCCTTCAACCTCTGCAGCAATTCTGGCAGCATTCATACGTCTATATTCCAAAGCCAACCTCTGGATATGATGCTGAGCACGTGCACTCAACTTCTTTGGTCGACCATGGCGAGGCCTGTTCTGAGTGGAACCTGTCCTGTTAAACTGCTGTATGGTCTTAGCCACCATGTTACAATGTAGTTTCAGGGTTTTGGCAATCTTCTTATAGCCTAGGCCATCTTTATGTAGAGCAACAATTCATTTTTTCAGATCCTCAGAGAGTTCTTTGCCATGAGGTGCCATGTTGAACTTCCAGTGACCAGTATGAGAGAGTGAGAACGATAACACCAAATTTAACACACATGCTCCCCGTTCTCACCTGAGACCTTGTAACACTAATGAGTCACATGACACCGGGGAGGGAAAATGGCTAATAATGCCCAATTTGGACAGTTTCACATAGGGGTGTACTCACTTTTGTTGCCAGCGGTTTAGACATTAATGGCTGTGTGTTGAGTTATTTTGAGGGACCAGCAAATTTACACTGCTATACAAGCTGTATACTCACTATTTTACATTGTAGCAAAGTGTCATTTCTTCAGGGTTGTCACATAAAAAGATATAATAAAATATTTACAAAATGTGAGGGGTGTACTCACTTCTGTGATATACTGTACAAAGTAAACTTGTACTGTTCGAAGTTGGGTCTATTTCTTTTCCTAAGTTTTCTCTGGAGTGTTGGCAAAATGTCCTGGACACTGTTAGGATGTGGTATTCTGTGGGAAATTGCCATATTTGACTTAGTCCCAATAAGTTAACATAAGGGAGTTCACAGAAACAATGCTTATTGCCCCCTCCTCTCCCACAGTCTCCCATGCCCCATTGTTCAGCTCTCCCCGCACTGCTGCTTCAGAGAGGCTCTTTGGGGGCTGCAGATGACTGTGAGGAAGAGAAGGGACTGGGAAACTTCCTCCTGGAGTTTCCTTAAATTAGCAAATTTTTGAAGTCCTAATATTTTTGAATCAATGCAAAGCAAGCATTGGTCCCATCCACCAGCAGAGAACTAAGGACTGCTGAATTTTGTGAGTTTTTGAGAGCTTTCTTTCTTTCTTTCTTTCTTTCTTTCTTTCTTTCTTTCTTTCTTTCTTTCTTTTTGTGAGGAGAGAAGGTACTGTCTTTTTTTGTTGTCCTCTGCGAGAATCATTTGATGTGAAAATGAGGATCGAAAGCTCTTAAACAAATAAGCAAGATCCAGTGCTATACCTTTGGATGACAGCTATGGGGTCAACTACCGTAGTGTGGTGGTGCTGGCCATGCAGTGTTTCGCATGTCTTGTGCACATGTATTTGTGGAATACCATATGCTACTGAATCTTA